TTATTATTATTATTATCATTATTATTATTATTATTATTATTATTATTATTATTATTATTATCATTATTTAGCATCTTCACTGCTGTGTAATCGACCGTGTTCTCCTAGCGAGGATCTCTGTCATATTTTATGCTGATCGATAGGGGAAATAGTAGAACATCTATTAATGATAGGACTAACGTTAATATCCCAAACACCCTTTGACAGTGTATAAATTCATTTTTTAAATTGTAACTCTCATAAAATTGAAGATGAATTTCACTTTTTGGTGGGTCTAAATAGCACAAATTTTTCCCGTCAAAGGAAATTGTTAACCCCTCTCAGCCGGACTCCGCCCACTGACAGTAATACGCAATATTTGACCCCATGAGAGATGTGTGCACAACCTGTACTTTTTCATCATGGAAGCTTTATTTAACGAATGAGTGTTTTATGTGATGTGATGACGGCCGATGACTTTAAACACTGAATAAACTTGCTTGCTTGCTTACATAAAAACAATCTCATAACATCAATCACTACCACCATCATAGTTTTATTAAAGTCATTTTTGCTCTCAGCTCCTTGACATACACCGCTGTCTTCCTTTAATCTCTATTTTTAAAGGTTCTGTCGTCATCGATGTCAGTACATGTCGATCTCAAAAGCCTTGATTGCAATTACTAATATTATCTACATACTCAATGTGTGTTTTTCATATGTATGGCAACTAAACCCTAGATATAAAGTGAAGGATCTCGGACATTCCACCTGGAAACAAAAACTTGATTACAGTTTTAATAAATCATTATAATTTAGGGTAATATGTCACAATATGTGCGTGATACCGAACCCTATCATGTGCATCGTTTTCTTCGAATCGTATACCGTCAATTTGATTAAAACAGGTAAGGGACACACAAAATACAAGTGTTAACAATGCGTTCTGCTGTTTATTCTTTAATAAAGGGAAAATATTATGGCTTTGTTTAATTCTTTTCAATTAACATTTCATCAAGTCTGTACACGCATAGATGGAAAGGCCTCAGCAATGAAGGGGTTAATTTGGCTAATGGATGGCGCTGGCCAGTGCACACTATCAACTTGACCTATCTGCCTTGTCGCATCAGATTCAACCCAGAATCCAAATTAGGAGCTGTCGTATTCTGCACGCAAACGAAAGATACTTTTAAAAAATATCTCCACAATGCAGAGCAGCTAAAGTGGGTTAGTTAATCTTGAAAGTACCAGTAGTAGTAGCCTATGAATGGCTACTTTCTTCCAGAGTATCAGATCACGGTTTAAAAAATCAAACATGATTGATTTTTTGACGATTCTATAACATTGTGCCAAAGTGGTACATTTTCGTCAGCAAGATTTTCAAATGTACTCAGCTCAGAAAACACATTTTTACAGGGGACAGAAGAAACTGTTTCATTTTTTTAACATTCATAACAGCATTTTGTGTTCTTCTTTCTTTTTTCAACATTTAGATTTTGAATTTTGACGCATGTAACCGATACCACATTTATACAGTATTAAGAAAATGCCATAGAAACAATTCTCATGTTGGGCTCGGTACATCTGAATAGCTTTCCCACGTTTAGCTCCTCCAGGAAGGAAAACCAGGCCATTCTCAAATGTACTGAATGCATCAAGTTATTATGATTTGACGAAACTTTATGCAGTGCTTGGCTTCAACAAAAGATACTCTCTGATCTCTATACTGTGGTAGCAGCAAAAGATTTATGAAACATAATTTCGTACACATTGGATATTTTACATGTTTAAATTAAGACATGGTTCAACACAATCTGTATAAATAAGGATTGTTAATTATTATTCGTTTTATTTTCTTGGAATTGCTATATTTGTTTTTATTTTATATTATTAT